TCGACGCACACACAACGGCAACGACGGCAAGAAGAAACAAGGAGTAACAACGACGATGCAGCGAAGGCAAAATGTCTTTCACCATCGAGCTCACCTTGCAGGGTCCTCATACGAGAGAACAACAAGAACAACAAAAAAAACAACAACAACAATTCCCGTACATATTTGAAGCACACGACAGTTCGTCTTAAACACACGATGGACACAACCCGCTCCCCGCTCCCAGGCGGAGGCAAGGGCGCACCCGGCTTGTGGGTGCGGCGGGACCCACGCCAGCACCGCCTGTGCCAGTCTAGGCGTGGGAAGTGAGGCGGCGGCACGTGGGGCGCCTCACAGGCCAAAGACTCGCGCGCCTGCGGGGGACTCAACTTCAAAGGCGAACGGCACCTCGACGCTCTCGTCGGGCCGCAGTGTCAGCTCCATCTCCACCACCCCGTCCACCTCCAGGCGGCGGCGGCGTTCGTCGTTGCCGTCGTCGTCGGCGGCGCTCGTCGCGTAGTCCTTCGGCTGTAGCAGGCGAACGGTGAGCTTCTGCTCGTTCGACTTCGGGAGGCGCTCCCGCAGCGTGACGGTGACGGTCTCCTGCCGCTTCCGGTTTGTCAGGGTCGTGGCGTAGGCGAAGAGCTGCCGCTGCTGCGCCTCGCGTCCGAAGAGGTTTGCCTTTACGTTCGTGGTGAGCTGCTGCCGAAGCTGGCGGCGGACCTCGATCGTGCTGTCGACGCCGAAGTGCAGGCTGAGCTGCGCGCCAGGGGCGGTGCGTTCGACGAAGGCGTTCGCGACAAAGTCGCCGTTGAGCGTGACGGCGGCCTCGCCCGGGAGCAGCGCGTAGTCGCTCGCGTTGGTGCAGACCGCCTTGGCAAAGACGGACTCGGCGGCGGCGGGCACCGTCACGTACGACACCGCCGCCTTCCACTGCAGGACGGTGAGCGGCACCCGGAGCTCCGCCCCGCCCCGCGGCAGCGTGTGGCGCGACGGCACGGCGAAGTTCACCATCCCCGTCGTCTCAGAGACCGCGGCCGTCTCGATCTCCGCCGCGTCCCCGTCGTCGACGGCGCACGCCAAAGAAAACAGCAGCATCTCGGGGTGCGCCTTTTTCTCCGGCGCGGGTGCAAGCCGCCACGGCGTCAGCCGCGGCTCCGCGGCGCCGCGGCGCGGGGCGGCGGAGGAGAGCGTGAGGGCGACGTCCTGCAGTTCCTCCGCGTCGGCCTGCACCACGGCGTTGTAGCGCAGCGTCACCGACTGCCGCTGGCTGTCGAGCCCCACCTCGTACTCGGCGCGCCAGGAGGCGCCGTAGGAGACGTAGGACACGTACACCACCGCGCGCGGCAGCGCCTCGGCGACCCTCAGCAAGATGCATGCGGTGGTCTCCTCGTCGCCCGGGGCGGAGTCGGTGTCGGGGGAGTCACACGAGCGGCCCACCTCGAAGAGGAGCTGCCGCAGACGGTCCAGCTCCGCCTGCAGGTCGCTCGCGGCCTTTTGCAGCCGCCGCCGCTCCGTCGAGGCGGTTGCGGTGGACGCCTCCAACTCCGCCAGCTGCGCCTCCCAGAAGTCCACCTCGAGCGCCGCCTGCAGGCCGTCCGTCACGGGGCCGCAGACACGCGCGAAGAGGCGGCTGCGCAGGTCCGCCTCATCGTTCACCGCCTGCTGCTCGAGTCGATTGAGCTCCAGCCGCCGCTCGACCTCGCGGATCTGCGCCTTGACCTTCTCCCCTTCCCGCTGCCGCTGCTGCCGCGCGGCCGCCGCGTCTTCCGCCGCGGGGGTGGACTCAAAGAGGACCCCGCGCAGCACGACGTGGGCGGCGGTGTGCTCGTCAAAGCGCACCTGCACGGAGTCCCGCTGAAAGCGCGGCGGCATGGGGAAGCGCAGCTGCAGGACGTCGTCCGCCGCCGCCGTGGTGCTGGTGGTGGCGGCGGCGGCGGTGGCGGGGAGCGCCACCTCCGCGACGCGCCGCACCTGCAGCGCGCTCTGGAACGCCGTCACCGCGTCGGGGCGGGGGTGCGCCTGGACGACGGCGACGACACCGCCGTCCGCGGGCGCCTCCGTCGCGGACGGTTTCCGCGGCATCGAGGCAGCCGGAAAAAAAAAAAAGGGTGGTGGGTGGTAATGAGAATGCTAAGTGATAGCAATAACTACTAATAACTAAGCCGCCGGAATTGCACCGTAGGCGATTTTGCCTTGAGCAGCACCAAGAAGCCTAATACCACCACCAAGGGCACAGCAACAACAACAACAACAGCAACAACAGCAGGAAGAAACGGGATAAGAGGCAGATGTTTATGTAAATAATTATATCACCGAGTAAATAAAATTACCCGCGGTGTGCTGGAGACGCGTGCACGCAGGCAGACGGCGCAAGAAGAAGGCGAGGAGGCTGGAAAAAAACCACGCCACAAATACACGCACAGAGACAGAGAGAGAGAGAGAGAGAGAGAGAGACGGATATACATATATCTTTATATATGCAATGATGGGAGCTACGGGAGGTGCGCAAAGAAATGCATGCTTCTAACAACTCTTCCTGCATCGCTACGTCAGGCGCATGCAGCTATACATTATATATATATATATATACACATGTATGTATGCATATATGTATATTTATATAATGTATAGACATGCCCCGCTGAATGTGAAACAAGGAGAACAACAAAATGAACACGTGTGAGGTCGTTGCGGGAGGAGGGGGATACACATATATAAATACATATTGGGAAAGGTAAACACGCGACGCAACCGAACGGAAACTGCGTGTAGACTGATGAAAGTGCGAAGGCGATGGGCCATGATAATAGTGACATTAATAATAATACGCAGCGCGGTAGCATGCGTCGTAGTGGTTGTAAACTATACATTCGCCGCCGCCGCCGCCGTCGTCGTCGCATCGTGACGCAATAAACACAAACACAAGAAAGGAAGCGAGATAAGGAAACCGCAGAGGAAGAAAGTCTCTGCCCGTATCCGTGGTTCGTGGCTGGCTAGGCTGCGGGGGCGGAATCTGCCTGCGGCGGCCGCGCCCCGCGCACAGGCCTCGGCTTCCTGCACTGCCTCTTTGCCTCATCGTAGGTGGCGAATATGCGCAGCTGATCCGCCAACATGCTTCGCTCGGCGGCGAGGGCCAACAACCGCTCCTGCAGACGCCATCGCTCGCCCATACGAGTGGCGGCGTCTTCTTCCCCCACCGCCGCCGCCGCCCCCCGCGCTCTGCCGCCGTCCACGTCATGGGGCTTGTCAACGCCGCCGGCGGCGGCAGAGACGAGCTCCGCAGCCGACGGGAGAAGTGCCGTCGTGCTCGCGCAGCCATTCGCCAGACGACTCTCGACGCCCTCCACTTCCTCCTCCTCCTCCTCCTCGTGCCGCGCGAGCATCTCGTCGAGCTCGGCCATTCTTCTACGAATCGCCTCCGGGTCAAGGCAGGCGTGTTCGCAGGGCGACGGCGCACACGAGGCGCCCGGCTGCTGCTGCGCCGCGGCGTCGGCCGTCGTCGACGGGGAGTGGCGGGAGGAGTCCGAGTCCCTCTCCGCAACCGGCCTGGCGGCGACGGTCTGCGCGAGGGTCCCGCCCGCACTGTCGCTCTTGTCGCCGGTGGAGCCACCTGGCGGGTGCGCCGCGTGCGGCGTGGCCTCGACGTCGTGCAGGCAGTCCGTGTCCGGTGCACGGCTGTGGTGCTCCAGCGCACGCGCCGTCGTCCCGCGCTGCGAGGCGTGCGACGCCTCCCCGCTCCCACACGCGTCCTCGTGCAGGGGTGACGCCGACGTCGGCCGCGGCCGCAGTGGGGTGGCGGAGGAGGGCCTCTGTGTGAGGGGCGGGACGGACTCGTAGAGCCACTCCCGCGAAGGCTGCCGCAGAGTCCACTCCTTTCCGCCGCTGGAGAGTAATTGCAACATCCACAACTCACGGGCGTCGGGACCGCAGGCGGCGCACGACGGCCGAAGTAGTTTGGAGAGCTGCAGAAGAACATCCTCCCACGTCTCGGTTGTCGGCTCGGTGCCTTTGGCGCAAGGCGGGGAGGAGGCCCCCAGCGAGAAACTATTACTCAGGTAAAACTGCGCCTTAAACTCCCGCCAGGTGAGCCCGGCGTAGGGGGAACGCCGGGCTGCCAGCGTCCCAATTAGGCGCCCCACCGCTACGACCTCCGTTTGCCCTTCCCCTCTCTTCTCAGTCGCCCGCAGCAGAGCAGCCAGGCGCCGCCAGTAGGCTGCATCCCCCTCCTGCAGCATCTCCTGCGAGAGGCATACCCCGGCGGCGGGTTCTCGGAAGGCGGAACATGTTGGCCTGCCAGTAGGCACCTTCTGCCTGTTCCCATCGTTGCTGCTATGACTGGTGGCGGTACTGTAGGTGGTGGCCGCGAACTTTGCCGCCTGCATGTATTCCCGCCGCTTCTCAGCTAGCCTTGCGTACGAACCCCCACCAGGAGAAACACCACTCCCCTCACGAGAACTATTGCTGCCGTCCCTGTTATTCACCTGCAGCTCAGCGCCCTTTTCGCCTCTTATTGAGGCCTCGACCTCCGCCGGCCTTGCCGTCCTCCGTGACTTTGGCACACTCCTCCTCGCCGCTACCGCCTGTCGGGCGGCGGCGGCGGCGGCGGCGGCGGCGGCCCTGCTGCTCTCTCGCCGTTGTTGCTGCTGCTGCTGCAGCGCCCGTCGTACAACCGACCTGCTGGCGGTGCGCCCCGTGGAGGGAGACGAGGCCGCGTGGCTGCCTGCCGAGGCCGCCTTCACCGCCGCTGGCGACCTCGTTCCGTTGCTCTTCCTCCTACCGCCATCATTCGCTTGCTCTTCGTCCACTCCTAACTTCCCCTGCCGCTGGGTCGTGTGCGTCGTGCCCGTGCTTCCACTCACAAAAAGCGCTGAGGTTGTGGCATGCGAGGCAGCACGCTTGCCGCTCATGCTCCGCCGTGTCGCACGCGTGGGCGTTCCTGCGGCCCCCGCCAAGAGGCATTTAGCCTCCCGGCCACTATCGCGTGCCTCCAGACTGAATGCGCCAACCGGCGCTTCTCGCCGGAATTCCTCCGTCGTCGTCTTGGTGGCGGGGCTCGCGGAGGCCCCGGTGGCCGTGGAGGGCGAGGGCACGCAGTGCTCTGCGACGGGGATGACGAGGACGGGGGTGCCGGGCAGCCCCGCCGCCTCGCCCTCCAGCGGGGCGAAGGGGAGGCAGTGAGGGGACGCCAGCTCACTGCCGTCTTCCTCCGTCTCCTTTTCCTTTTCCTTGTCCGCCACTCCCTCCAGCCCCTCGAATTCAAAGCGGAGGGGGACGGCATCCTGCACGGAGTCCCCGTCCGCGTGCCAAATCGGCGTTGCGAGTCCCTCCCCCACCGCTTCCGCCTCCCGCAGCGGCGATACGCTGGGAAGGTTGAGTGACGGGCTCACGGTAGACGGCGACGCGGCTAACGGCGGTGTTGCCTCTAACGATGGCAAGGCTTTGGCGGCTGTGCTCGCTTGCTCTATATTCTCCTCCGCACTGCTGCCGCCGGTCCCTTCCTGCCTTTCCGCCTCCTGTGTCTCGGAAACATCCTTCCCCTTTGCTGCGCCACCGTGCGTCGGAGCAGGCGGTGCCGCAGCGTCGGGAACTCGCGGTTCCCCGCGGTCCCTCTCCACTTCTGTACAGCTCGCACGTGGCTCCGGCCTCAACGGGTCGTCGCACGCCTCCTTGCGCTCAGACGCAGCGGCGGCGGAAGGCGACGGAGCCTCGCCGGGGATGAGCCGTGGGGCATCCGCCGGCACTGCCACTTCCTCTACCCTCGTCGTCGCTTCTGCAGGCACCTCTACATACCCACTGCCCGCCTCGCCCTCTTTACTCTTCCTTTTCTTCTTTGATGCGAGCTTGCGGCGAAGGTTTCTAAAAAACGGGAACGCAGTCTTAAGCCCGCAGTTGCCCATGCAGCCGCCCATCTTGTCATCCACCAGTCGACTCGGCGCGGGGACCACGACAGGCACCGGGGCGACCGTGTCGCGCAGCTGCGTGTTTGCCACACCGCCGCGTTGTCCGGGGTGTTCCCGCTGCCCTCGACCGCCACCACGCGCCGCCGCCATGCTCCCGTTGCTACAGTTGCCCTGCAACGGCCTTGGCACCGCCGCCGCTGCTGCTGCAGGTTGTGGCTGCCTGCGTGGGGGCGCCGCGGCGGTGGCACCCCCAACGAGTGACGACGGCACGGGTGAAACTCGCAACTCCTCGCCGGACACGTGCGTGCCGTCCCGCTCCCCTCGGTTGGGGGACCGCGACGGCGCCGGCGTGGCGCCGAGGGTGCAGCTCCAGTCACTGTCACTGTCCGCGTCGTCGAGGAGGTGCAGGGCGTTGCCGGGGCTCTCCGAGCCGCAGAAACTGACCTCCTTCGAGCCGCTGCGCACCTGAAACACAATCGACGAACCGGCGGAGTCCATCGCTGGCAACCCGCCGGTGCGCTGCCGCCTACTTCCTCTTTCTTTTTTCGTCTTCTTTTTTGGTTTTTCTTCTTGCTGCCGTGGCCGGGGACGAGTCCGTCCCCCCCCCCCTACTTGCTCCAACGCACGCGGAGAAGGGAACAAGAGAGAGAGAGGGACGGGGAGAGCCGCAGGGCACATCAACACACACACACGCACACAAACGGAGAGAGAGGGAGAAGACAGAGGCGGCGGGCTGCCCATTCGCAACATTCACGCGCCCCGATGCGCCACCGACGCTTCGTTTGTTCCGCTCCCATCGCCCACATCGCCGCCTGTTTTTTTTTCTGTTTTCTTTTGTTTACTGTGGCTCCACTGCTGCAACGCAGTCAACACACACCACTTGTTAGTCCTCCCTCCCTCCTCCCACGGTCCCGCCACTGCGAAGCGGCGGCGGTGGCTTCTTCTTCTCGCTACAGTTTGTCCTTCCTCAAAACTTCCCCCAGCGGATCAAGTGCCGCGTGTGGAAGCGTGGGCTGCGCACGGAGTGAAACCCGTGCTCCGCGCCGTGTCCAACGCTTATAATCACCGGCACAGTGAAGCGCGCCGGCAACCCGGCAACCCGCCTCACTTGCGCCTCGTCAAAGCCCTCAAGAATGGCCGTGTCAAACCCCGCCGCTGTGGCAAGGTAGAGAAACGTCGTCGCCGGTATCATCGCCTGCTTCCACGCGTACGCCTGCTTGTTTGTCGGGACCGACAGCATCGCCTGGCCCGTGGTTTCGCTATACCACGTCGACACGAGTGACTTGGCGTGCGACATGGACTCCATTGGACCGCCGTGGAGCAGGTAGTACGCGCTCCGCAGGTAGCCCGCGCCGTACATTGGGTGGTAGTAGCCGCTCTCAAGCCCCAGCTCCAGCGCCGCCGGGGCGTTGCGCTCCGGCTCCATGTCGCCCGCAAACACAACCGTCACCGGGGCGTCGCGGGGTTGCGGTTGGCCGAGCGCCGCGTCTGCCAGCGCCGCCCGCTGCTCCGCCTCGTGCACCACGACGGCCACCCACGGCTGCAGGTTCAGCGCCGTGGGAGCCCGCGTCGTCATGGCGAGAAGGTCCTCCAGCACCTCGAGGTCCACCGGCCGCGTCGGGTCAAAGCGCTTGCAGGAGCGACGGTCGTGCACGACGCCCGTCACCGCCTGCAGCGGCGATGAGGAGGGCTGCACGGGGGAAAGTAAGCGCGGCCTCGACGCGCCCCCGTTCCCGCCGTCTTGAGCGGCTTTATCTGCAGCCGCCGACGCGGCCGCCGTGACGTTTGACTGCTTCCAGCGCCAGTACGCCTTCACAGAGTCCCACAGTCCCCTCCGCCCACCGGTTCGCCGCATGGCGACGCACACCCCCTACCGCCCCCCTCCCTCGCTGCCCCCGCTTCCTCTTCCTCTTCCCTGCCGCCGCACTGCGCACGGCACCGCGGCCCGACGCAGCTGAAGCGTGCGCCCCGTATGTTCGTGTGCGGGTGCGTGCGTGCGTGCCCCGCTGTCTCCTCCTCGTCGTCTGGTGGGCCCCGGTCACAGACACAACATGCACCGCCGCCCACAGCCGGCCCCAGTTTTTTTTCTTTTCTTTTTTCTTCTCCCTCCCACTCCAAACACACACACGCACGCCCACCTCCTCTTCCTTTCAGCGAGGCAGCGGAGAGGAATGGGCGGAGAAGCGTGGCGGCATGCAATCAAAAAAAGAAGAAGAAGAAGAATAAACAGCAGCAACAAAAAGATGCTTCCATGCACACTTCCACAACGACACAAAACAAGACACGTCCCCTAAAAACGCCTGAGCATGAGAGACGCACACACGAGGGCCCGTCAAAAAAGAAAAAAAATCATACACAAACTAAATAAGGAAGAAAGCCGCGGTTTCACGGGAAACATCAACGAGGGTCTATTCGGCCATGTAGAGGTCCTACGGCCACGACGCATTGTTTTACGAATGCCACCACTATTTACATGCAGTGCAATGCTCCCCTCCCGAGCCCCTCCCCCGGCCCCACCACTTTTTTTTTCTTTTGCTCTCTTTCGGCTTCCGTCTCGCTGTTGGGACCAGCCGCAGAAAAAAAAAGCCCTCACACACACACACAGCGCGAGTTATAAAACACGTAGGCGTCTCACTACGGCAGACAACAAATGCTGTTCAACTGTTGAAATGTACATGGTCCGAAGCAACTCGTATTTTAACTCCTCAAGTGGCACCCGAGACAGCTTCGACGACGTTTGCTTTCAGTGGATGGGGACTCGCAAAGAAGTATACGGAGCTCCTGTCTGGCCTTGGATTGCCGTAGAAGCCAATGGATTCACAGCGGTGACCAGTTTCCTTGCAACCGTCGTATGGAATATGTTTCCCATTAGAAGTATCCTTCGAAACCTGGCTAATGACGTGCTGCAGCACCCGCTGAGGGGCTCCTTGCGTCATCTTCTTGCTGCTCTCTAGCCGCTTGCCCTCGGTACTCATGTCCCCCAGGTCCCCTCCGATGGGTTCGTGCTTGCAGTGGTAGTGCAGCACGCCCGCGTACGGCGCCGCTACGTCGCGTGGATCGCACCAACATGCACGCAGCCGGCATGGCGGGCCGGTGATTTTGTGCCAGACCGTTTTGGCGCCCATAATGTGACTCCCTGGCAAGAGTGCTAGTCGATCAAACCCGTTGTATAGCTCTCGCCCCGTAACGAGCCGCGTTTTCAGCGACGGCGCCGGCGACGCCCTACTGGCGGTGGGACTTCGCCGATGCTCCTTCGAGGAGGCCGGCGCGGGCGACCGGCCGTGGCGCACGCGGTCTAGGAAGCTCACCTTCTGCCGCCCCCCTTCTAAGGCTGCCAGGCGCGAGTGGGAGGAGGAGGCCAACGCATGGCCGTCTTTCGAGTGCGCCCCGGTCGCTTGCGCGTCCGCGTCTGCGTCGGCAGGCAGTTGTTCCGCGTCGCCGTCCATCCCCTCCCCATCCGCAGTGGAGAGTTCAATCTCTGCCGCCGAGCAGGCGGCGTCCTCACAGCGGAGTGCGGCTGCAGCTGCGGCCGCCGCTGCCTCCGCCTCCGCCATGCTTCTCGCCGCCGCCTCTCTCTCCGCCTGCAGCTCGGCCAGGTATTCCGCGCGCCGTGGGGCAAGAATGGCCTCCACCTCCTGCGCGAGGTCAGCCGGGAACGGCGGCCGCCCTGCGAGGTCCGCACGCAGAAGTTTTTTCCGCAGCGAGGCACGCGCGTTGGCGGCGGTGTCCGCTTCGCCAGGAGCCAAAGCTACGGGCGCCGCCGGACGCAGTGACTCCAGCGTCTCCGGGTGGTACGGCCCGTCAAACAAAACGACGGCGAGGGTGGTGTTGGAGCGCAGCACCTCCAGCAGCACCCGCAGGAACGCCCCGGTGAGGAAGTTGCAGTCGAGGTTGAGCAGCCGCAGCCGGGTGTTCTGCCCGGCAAGCGAGCGGAGTATCGGCTCCACGTCACTGTCGTAGAGGCCGTTGTGGAAGAGCGAAAGCTCGCGAAGCGGCGGGTTCGTGGAGAGAAAAGCCGCAATTTTCTCGCACCCCGCGCGCCCCATGTGGTTGCCGGCGAGATTCAGCGAGAGCAGATTCGGTGGGGTGCCGCTGCCGCCGGCGAGCGCCTCCGCCGCGCGGACGGTGAGGGCGTTGTAGGCGACGTCGAGCAGCCGCAGCGCGGGGCTGGCGGCGAGCAGCTGCAGCACGCCGGGGTGCGCCAGGAGGAGACCGTCGTCGCCGAGGTAGTGGTTCGGCACCCGGACCTCCTCCACAGGCACGCACGCCGCAGCCGCCGCTGCTGCTTCTCCCGGGCTCTCGGGTGCCGCGTCATCTACGCCGCCCTCACTTCCCGCCTCGGCTGGCGCCGAAAGCGCCTGCTGCATCGTCGACAAGAGTTCAAGTAGCTCCTCGCGGTTGGTGCAGACAAACACACGGTCCTCGCTAACCTTCCCGAGCAACTCCCGACTCTGCCCAACGCCCATTTCTCCCTCTCGTTGCCGCTGCCGCGGGGAGGTGGATTATATTATAAACAACAGGCTTGTCCCTGCTTCCTATGTAGGGTGTATTTGTGTATGCACGCGGTTCCCGCTTGAGAAGTACAGCTGCGACGTGTGTGTGTGTGTGTGGGTAGGGGGGGGGTAGGAGGAGGGCAACACGGACACATACAGAAAGAAGGGCAATAAAAACATGCGAGCCCAGCAGCAGAAGCTGCATCAAATAATAATAATACAAATGAAAATTTCACTTCGCAAAGCTACAAAGAAGAAGGGTGCGGTGGGGAAATACTTATACAAATGTGTATGAATAGTTGTGTAGAAGCAGGCCTTGTCCCCCCTCTCCGCTTGCCTTCTTTTTTTTTTCTTCTTCATATATACACACAGTTTCATTTCCCGTTTTTTTTTCTCTCCTTCTTCCTTAATGTTTTGGTGCGGGTGGAGTGTGGGGTCTAATGTACATTCCTCCGCATCCATCGCGGCGGCGGCGGCGGCGGCGGCGGCAATGAGGCGCAAGAACTATACACCCCTTGTTGCTCTGCCGCCGCGCCTCAGGACGCCGGCACCCCCAGCGAGGAGGAGGAGCTATCCACGACCTCGCGAAACACAACCAGCGGCATTGTGGCGTTGCACGGGGAGGTGGCCTGCTCCAGGTGCGGACGCCGTGACTTGGTGTGCATCAGCAGTAAAGACATCAGAGCCTTGCTGGCCTGCAGATGGCCCAACTCGGCCGCGAGCAACAGGGGCGTGCGGCCCATGCCATCATGGACGTTCAGGTACTCCCAGACCGTGCGGATCGTGGTGTTGCGGCGCCCATCCGCACGCAGCGGGTTCACGCCGCAGCGGCGTGGGTAGGGCGGCGGCTGCCCCTCAACCTCGTCATACTCCGACTGCTGTGGATGGGTTTGCTGCCGCAGGAGGCGATCGGTGATGGGGACCAGGTGACCGTCGTCCACCGCCGCCGCGCCGCCCTTAAGCACGCAGGGCAGCCACCCCCCGACACACTGCACAAGGTTCAGTAGGCTGGGGGCGTGGTTGGCCAGCACGGCGTAGTGCAGCGGGAGACACCCACGCGCGTCCAGGAAGAAGGCACCGCTTCCGTCGTCGCGCCTGAGCAGCTCGCGCACCGCCTCAACGTAGCCGGCGGCACAGGCGTTGTGAAGCGGCAGTCGACCGTCGGCGTCCACCTGCAGAGCCAGGGTCGGCCCCAGCGCACACCCAAGCACCTCGCGGATAACCGGCAACAGTGCGGCCTGCGTTGCCGCCTCACTGTGGGAGCACAGATGGTGCAGCGCCGTCCGCACCTGACCGTCGGTGAGCAACAGGTGCTGTGGACTCAGCGAGAGCTTCTTCACGGGCAACTCCACACTCGTGCCAGAGAAGTTGCCGCCCTCCACCGAGGCGGTGGTGGCGCCGCCAGAAGGCGTCGCCCCCGGAATGTTGTTCGAGCCCCGCTGTCGGGGGTCCACGCTGTCGTTGCCGCCGGCGCCGGCGCCGGCGCCGGCAGCGTCGAGGCTGGAGTTCTCGTTTCCCTCGGAGAGGATGGAGCCGTTGTTCCCAGGCGAGTGCTGCTGCTTTTGACGACCGCGCCGCTGCGACGACTGCATGGGTGAGGGCTGCTTCTGCCGGCCACTGCGGCGGCTTGGCAGGGACGAGGAGTTGTTTGTCTGCCGACCCCGTGCGGCGTGCCGCGAGCGATCCCGCTGCAACCCCCTCGTCCCGTGCGAGTGTAGGCTCCTGCCGTAGACAAACTCCTCCTGCTGATGCAGCAGGAGGTGCAGCATCTCCGCCTCCCCGCGACGCGCGGCGATGAGGATGGGGGTGTCTAGCGTGCACCCGCTCCGCGCCTCCGGCGCCGCCCCGAAGCGCAGGAGCTCACGCACCATGTCGCACGCCTGCGGCAGCGTCGACTGCGCCGCAAGGTGCAGCGGGGTCTGCTCCAGGTTGTCCGTTTCGTTGGGGTCGGAGAAGTTGTCCAGCAGCAGCAGCATGATTTCCATCGAGCCATCGACCACGGCGCGGTGCAGCAGCGAGCCACCCAGTGGCAGCCCGCTGGGGTGTCGCACGGAGGCATACCCAATCGTCAGCAGCAGACGCGCAATCGCCGCGTCGCGGGTGGTGCAGACCGCCATTTCCAGCGCCGTCTGGCTGGCCAACGAGTCCTCCGCCTCCACGTCGATCACCGCGGTGGGCTCGACGGCGTGGAATTCGCCCACCGCCGTCGGTCGGGCCTTTCTCCGCGCAATGGAGGACTTCTTGCGGGTGGAGGGCGCCGAGGTCGTACTCTGCGTCTCCGTCGCGACGCTCTCGCCGTGTTTCAGGAGGAGCTCCAAGATTTGGGCCTCGCCGGCCAGGACGGCGAGGTGCAGGGCGGTGCGCCCCGCGTAGTCCGTCTTTCCGGCATTCAGGGAAGTGCAGGTGTTTAGCAGCGCCCGCACCACCCCGCTGTTGCCGTGCATCACGGCGTAGTGCAGCGGCGTCCGCCCCAGGCAGTCCTGCACATTAATGTCAAAGTTTGCGTGGGTGGGGAGCACCAGCGGGGAGATGAGTAGCTCCATCACACTTGGGTGCCGTGCGACGGCGGCGTAGTGTAGCGCGCAGGCTCCCTTCGCATCCTCCACCATTGGATCCGCGTGGTATTCGACCGCGAGGCGTCGAATCAGCTCCGGGTGGTACGCCACAATGGCGTGCATCAACGGGGTCAAGTGTGTGACAAACGGCATGCTGGGCAGCGTCGCGTCCTTCTCGGCGGCCACGCCGCCTCCCGCGTGCACGTCAAGGGCACTCGCGCCCTCCAGGCTCACGCTGACATGCATGGGCTCCAGGCTGTCGCTCTGCTCCGATGCCAACCGACTGTAGCTAACTGAGGAGGAGGCAGGCGGCAGGTGCGATGGCACCACAGCTTCCCTGTACTTGTTCATTTCTGCCCGTTTTTCTACCTTCCGCAACTCCTCCCGCGGTGCATCGCCGTGCACGTCTGCGCCACGCTCGCACAAGTTCTGTATCATCACCCACGCATTGCAGTTGGATGCAAAGTACCACCACGCGTCGGCGACGGGAGGGGGGCAGGGAAAGTCTATATCCGCCCCCATCCCTGCCGAAGTGGCACTGACAGACTTCAGCATCCGCGAGGAGGGCACTGCAAGCGGCGGCAAGGGGGTTAAAATATAATTCTGCAGCGCCGGCGTTGGCAGCGCCGACAGCTTTTGTGCGTCGGACTGCCGCGGGGTCTCACGGATGGCGTACTCGCCGTTCATGCCCTGCCCGTAACAAATGAGCGAGACGAGCGCCGTCTCGCCGAACGCGTTCACCGCATCGATGGAGAGGCCGCGCGCCAGCAGCGCATCCAGGACGGCTGGCTGCCCCGCAGCGTAGTGGATCAACGTGTAGCGGCCGTCCAGCGAGATTTGCCCAATCGCGTCCCCCGCATCCAGCAGGAGCTCCACCAGCTCCCTGTCACCCGTCGCGCAGGCACGCGCAAGGGCGGTCTGCATGCCGTTCACAAGGCGGTGAAACACGCCCGGCGCGCCGTAGTAGAGGAGGAGCTGCACCGCCGCCGCATCCCCGCGCCGCAGGGCGAGATCCATCGCGGTCCAGCCATTCACGGAGGTGCGGGCCTCAAAGTCGATCCCCGCCCCATCCAGGTGGAAGACGGTGTCGACGCCGTGGGTTGGCGCCGTGGCGCCAACGGAGGTTGTGGGGCGCGATCCACGGGCGCTGCGCTTTGCGGCGCCCCCCGGCACGCTGCCCTGGCGCCCGCGCGACGGCGGCCCCGTGACAGACGCCCCAGCGCTGGAGATCAATGCCGCCGGGTTACCCGCGCGGTCAGGACGTCCCAGGCGCTTCTGCAGCGACCCCGGCGGCGGCCGCGGCTCACCCACCAGCATGAGTAGATCCATTAGGAGCGCCGGCTGCCCCAACTCCACAAATAAGTGCAGAATCGTCCCTGTTTCACCCGGCCTCGTCTGAAACTCCTTCCCATGCAGTGGAAAAAACTTCGACACAGAGGCGCCGTGGTTCAGCAGCCACTGCATCATGGCCACAGACTCGGTGGTGTAACGGCCTTGCAGGAGCAGCGCGATAAGCGGCGGGAGCGGGTCCTTGTAGAACGGCACCTCCTCACAAGCCACCACGGGGTCTGCACCATTTTCCAGCACCGCCTCCGCCTCCGTCACACTGTACTGCAAACACGCCTGCATCAGCTGATGATTCCATGTGTTGTTGGGATCCTCCGGCACCCGCCGCTTTAGCTTGGGAGGCATTTTTGCTGTTTTTTTTTTGCGGCCCCGTCTTTTGTCCTTCGCCCCCTATCCTCACACACTCGCCTATGCTTTGCCACCAACCTCCGCTGCCGCCGGCGCGGGAGAACACACAGGCACACATACATACACACACACAAATAAAAAGCAAGAGCAAGAGAGGAGGGGGTGGGTGGGGGAAGAGTGTGTGTCCGCGGGAGTGACAGCCGGGGATAGGATGGAGCTCTCTCTCACACACACACGCATACACACACAGACGTCTTTCTTTCTTTCTCTCTCTCTCCCTTCGGAATGTACAGCCACCGTTTAAGGATACACAGACACAGGGTGACACTACACATGAGCACTAGGCGTGGCCGAGACCCCTGCGTACGCCAGAGCGCACGGCATCCCCACTCCCCCTATCAAAGGAGCGGCAGCGCCAGCAGAAGGGACCACGCATACCGTTCATTATTAGCCGTCCACGCCGTGTCCTTCAGCGGGGGCACTGGGGAAGCACATCCATGTGCGAAATGCAAAACCCCGCAACTCACGAAATCCAAAGAGGCAGGGAAGCCGCCAAACAAAAAAAAAGAAAAGAAGAATAGCAACCAGCACAGAAACCCTGTTTTATGCGCGCAAAATACACACTCACGCCCAAGCCAGGACATTTGGAGTTTGTGCTTGTTGTGTTTCTCTTCCGCACTTTTCTACAGGATCCCTGGAATTCGTTTCTATCACCAGCCAGACACGTATAGCTTCACCTGTACGCGTAGGACCAGGGAGATTACGACTGAAAGCGCTGACGCATGGCATCCCGCGCCTTGTACAACGCGGCGAGCTGCTTATCCGCGGCCGCGTCCCCTGTGGAGAGGTGCCCCGGGGCGTAGGGGTTCGGGGCCTCGCCGTTGCTCCCTACCTGACTCACGGGAAGCGCCAGCGACGCGGAGGCCTCCGCTTCTGTCCAGCCGTTGTTCCCTACCGGGGCGCGGTTCAGCGGCGTGAGCGGTGTACGGGATGAGATGACCGGGTGTGGCCGCAAAGGGTCGGCGGGGGCGTTTACCTGCGACATCGCCGACGAGCTGCTGTTTCCGCCCATCTCGTTCGGCAGCCTATTCACGGAGGCCCACTTGCTGCCATTCCAAGTCCGCGCCGACGTCATCGTCTCCTCCCGCAGCGGCGGGAGCTCAGAGGGCATGTTTGGCATGGACGATACAAGCCGCTGCGTCGCTTGCTGCTGCTGTGGCGCGGACTGCAGGAAATTATGCCGCGTGAAGAGCGGGGAGGACGCGGAGGGGGCGGAGGCCGGGCTGATGCTCGTCGTTGGGGCGGGGGCGGCGTTCGCCCCCCCGCTCGTTGCCATGGCGAGCTGCTTCTGCCGGATCTGCAGCCAGTCCTCGAAGTCGCGCGTCAACTGCTCCTGGGACCGCTTCATGAAGAGGTGCATGGCGTCAATCTCCTCCTTCTGCCGCCGCAGCGAGGTGGCGAGGTCGTTGTAGGTGGCCTTCGTTGCCGTCAGCTCCTCCAGCGCGGACCGCTCCGCGGCATCCATCGTCTCCACCCCCTGCAACGCCCGCTCCGCGCGCAGGCGCTGAATGTGCCCCTTCAGGTGCTTGATGCGGTCCACTGCGTCGTTGAGCTGCCGGGCTGTGGTCTTGCAGGCGTCGTACCGCTGCTTCAGCTCCCGCTTGTTGCCCTCCATCTCGGCGCAGTGGCGGTAGGAGCGATGGAAGGCCTCAAAGGCGGTGGCACGGTCCTTCAGCAGATCCGCGTCCGTGAGGGCGGAGAGGTCGTACACCTCATTGAGCTGCTCCTGCTTGCGGAAGAACTCATCGACGGCGGTGGCCTGCGCCGGCTCAAGTCGGTCGTGCAGCGCACGTCGGTAAGAACTCACGGCAGCTTGACTCCCGTTTTCAGGCGACGGCCGCGGCTGCGATGGCGACAATGGTACTATTCCCTGTGGGGCGGCTTCCGCGCTGGCACCGGCGGCGTCGCCTCCGCCGACGCCGTTGTTGTTGTTGTTTTTGCTCACGATACTGCCGCTGCAGTACGCCGCGTCCACTGTGGCGCCTGTCTGCGTCTCTACGTTAAACTGTGCCCGCTGCGTCTTCTGCAGGACGCCAAAGAGCATGTTCATCTCATTCTCCTTCTGCTGCAGGCTCAACTCCAGCGCGTCGATGCGGGCACGGTAAACCTCCAACTGCTGCTGCTGCTGCTGCTGCTGCGTCGGCTGGGAGCGAGCGGAGGAGTTAAGGCCGCCGCCGCCACCGCCACCACCGCCGCCGCCGCCGCTAGCCAGCATGCGCTTCATCACGTCAAAGCAGTAGTAAATGCGTGCCAAGTCCCCCTCAAAGCCCTCAATGCGGGCATCGCTGCCGGTGTCGGCGACGTAGCGCCGCACCATCTCCTGGCACCGCTGCTTTTCGTCGTCGGTGAGCTCTCGGTCGGGGGCGCCGCCGCCGTCTTTGGTGTAGAACGCCAGCTGATCCCGCAGCTGCTGCAGCTCCACCTTGAGCTTCCGCACCAGCAGATGCGGATCCACCTCTTCGTTGATGTGGGCGTTCTGGCGAATCAGCGCCACGCGCTGCGCAAAGCGGCAGGTGCTGATCGTCTCCGGCAGGTGGTCAAGGGAGGGGTGGGCGGTGGCGAGCATGCTTGTGCGGCAGTTCCCCCCGAGCGAGTCCCGCAGCACCATCGTCATGAAGGAGTTGCGAAAGGGCACGTGCTCGCGCCTCCCGCTGGCCTGCTCGCTGAGCGCCATGATGACCTGCTCCAGGTAGTGCAGGGAGAGGTTGATGTGCTTCGCCTCCGTCAGCACCGTCCCAGTCACCCCCGACTTTGCCACCCGCTCGCTGCCGGCGAGGTCGACGAGGTTCAGCTTGGAGCGGCGCACCACAGACGAGCCGTGGGCGCGGGCCTCGAGGTAAATCGTAAAGACGCAGTGCGAGCGTGAGGAGGTCTTGTTCATCGGCGTCTCACAGTAGAGCCGGTTGGTGTCGCCGAGGAAGAGCAGGTTGAGGGCCTCCTCCACGTTGGGCGCCCCGTGCTGGGCGAGCCCCTTCAGCAGCACCTCCTCCTCGTCCGCGTCGTGGATGGTGACGGCGGGGAGGTCCTCCAGCCGCCGCGCGTCGCGGCCGTGGTTGAGCAGGTCCTGCCCCTTGTCGTTGTAGATCTGCAGGTACGACACGGCGATGCTCCACGTCTCCTCCCGCTGCCGCCGCGCCACCTCGTCGTAGACGAGCGCCAGCGCGCGTGGGATGATGCCGCGGTCCTCGTAGCTCTCGGCGCCGCCGGTGATGCTGTACGTCTTGCCGCTGCCGGTCTGCCCGTAGGCGAAGATGGTGCTGTTGTAGCCGTCCAGCGCCGCCACGACGCAGTCCTTCGCGACGACGTTGAACACCTCCTCCTGCGTCGCGCTCGGCTCGAAGGCGCGGCGGAAGGTGAAGCGGTAGTCCTCCCTCGCGTTGTTCACCACATCCGCCTCGGCGCGGCGGTCTACGTGGAAGTGCACCGTCGACTGCTCAAAGGTGTGCTCCACCGCGTACCCGCACGCTTCTGCGTCCCCGCCGCCGCCGTTGCCGAGGAGCGGCTGCCCCTTCGCGGCGGGGCGGAGGCGCAGGAAGATACGGATGCCCTCCGGCTTCCCCATCGGCCCGCCAGGACTCCCGCAGCCCCTTCACCGGCAGTACGCGCAAGGACAATGCTGGCAGTCGCGCCGGGCGCTATGATCGCTCCCTCTCCCTCTGCAACGATGTATGCGTGCGCGGGTCTACGGGCCCCGACGGCAGGAAAGGGAAGGTCTATATATAAATAAATATATATATATACGTGTATGTGTATGTGCGTGCGCCTTTTTTTTTTGCGTGTCCCGCCCTTAAGGAGAAAAACAAACAAACAAACCAACTAAAAAAAAAACGACAACTAAAGGAGGCTTCCTGCTTGGAATGCTCCCTTCTTCTTATTCTACTACTACTCGCCGTAACTGTGGACGGCAAAGGCGGCGGCGGCGGCGGCGGCAGCGGCGGGGACGCTGCCGTCGTAGGCTGCGGGCCCGCGGTGACTGCGATGTCTCACTTGTGTTGCTGCTGCCGCCGCGATGGTGATCGCTGTTTCTGTGGGTAGGGAGGGAGGGGGAGGGGGTGTTGGTTTCCTTGGAGAAGAAAACCAACACGCAGGGAGAGAGACACAGCGGAGGCAAGCAAGATAGAGAGAGATAGGAAGGAGGGAAAGAGCAGCTGCCAGGTGCAGCAGCAGCAGCAGCAGCAGCAGCAGCAACTCACGCCGGCGCCACACCGGCGCACGCGACGCGTCGTCCCCCCGCCCCTCTTCACCGCAGTGTTCGATAGAAACTCCGATAATGTGACATGTGGCCCACCGTATATATACGCACACACACACGCAAACACACACAAACACACACGCCCGTGTGCGTGCATCTCCTCCTTTCTTCCCACTGTACTTCTCCTTTCTTGCCTTCTCTTTCCCCCCCCCTCCCCTCCCCAACTAAGTTAGTCACTGACATGCCACGCACAGACATGGCCTCCCGCTGGCGCAACCGCATCGGTCGCCAACGCGCTACTCATTTTACTCCGCCTTCGTTTCACTCTGCTCTATCTGCAGTCGACATGCGCGGTTACATGTCATCGGTGTTGTTTCTGTTCTGCCGCAGCCAGGCACTTTATGCCCACCGACGCATATATATGCAAATAAACAAAACAAAAGAAGAAGACGCCAAACACTTTTTGCGTACGTGCGGGTGGATGCGTGCTGCACACTGATCACACCTCCTCCGCACGTACGCACTTACACCTGCTGCTCTTCTCTCCCGTGCGTGCGTGTGCGTGCATTTAACTCTTCTTTTTTTTTTATCCCCCTTCTCCGCTCTTTTTCTTTTCCTTCGTTTTCGTCACTACGCCCTTCTCACTCTGTACGCCTCACGCCTCCTCCTCCTCCTTCGCTGGGCGCTGCTGCTGCTGCTGCTGCTGCTGCGGGGGCGCGGGGTCGCCCTCCTCGCGGCGCAGGATGCGCACAAACTCGCGGTGGCTGTAGACGATGCAGCCGAGCACCGAGACGTTCACCCCCACGAAGGACGGCACGGTGAAGGCGTAGTCGCTGAATATCATGCCGACGTACGACGTGACGACGTTTTTGCCGGCCCCGATCATCGACACCGTGAGGGGGGAGTTGAGCCTCATGCAGAGGTACGTCGCGTAGCTGATGCCGTAGCCGGAGACCGCGTTGAGGGCGAGGGCCGCGAGAAGGGCGGGGGTCCAGCCGTCGAAGCGCCGCAGCGCGGTGCGCTCGCGGCGCACGTCGCAGAGCAGCAGCACGCCGGCGAAGCAGGCGGCGAAGGCGTTGGTGTAGAACATGATCCCCGCCGAGCTAAACCGGCCCTCGTCCATCTTCCTGCGGGTGAGGACCCCGTTGAGCGCCGTGCAGGCGTCGTTCGCGAGCACGAACAATATCCCCCGCAGCGGGGCCCTCACATCGAGGCTTGTGGCGATGACGGCGCCGGCGATCATGAGCGCCACGGCGGCGCGGGTCTCCCAGTCGTGCCGGTAGCGCAGCAGGACGGCCTCGCCGAGGAGCGTCAGCGCAATCGAGAGGCGGCGCAGCAGCACAAAGAGCGGCATGTTCAGCGCCTGCGTCGCCCCGAGCCCGCTGAGGGTGTTGAACACGAACACCACCGGCAGCGGAAAAAGGTCCACGAGGATGATCCGCACGAGGCCCTTCAGCGGGAAGCTCACGGCGCCCTGGCGGCGGCGCAGCAAAGAGACCACCGTCGTGGCCGCGTACTGCAGAAAGCCCACAAACATAAAGCAGTGGAAGTCAAACTCGGTGAGGATGGTCTTGGTGAGCATCATGATGCCGACCGACATCGCGGCGTAGAGCAGCGCGGCAAGCAGCTTGAGCCGCCGCGGGGCCGTCCCCGCCGTCATCTCGAGAAGTGCGGCGTCCTTTTCCCGGAGGCCGCCGCCGCCGCCGCCCCACGCACCCTCCGCGGGCTGCGCCTCAGCGCCTAACGGGGCAGCGTCGCACACGTCGACGGCGATGAAGTCGCTCGCGCCGTCCCTCCGCGCCCCAGCGGCGGCGTCCAACGGAAGGGCCCTACCGCCGCTGTCGCCGGTCATGCCTCGCCGTTCCTGCGACCCTGCCACCACCCTGCACGCGTGATTGTGGGTAACGCGCGCCAGGCGCTGCGGCGGCACGGATATTTGCGTGGAGCTCCCTCTGTCCGTGCGTGCGTGCGCTTCTGCCCGACGTCGCGGTCCTTCGCTGGTGGCGGCCGGGGGTATTGGCGAGGACGATGCACAAAATTCGTCGGCGCGGGTAGGACACGCGCGCGTGGGCTCAACGAAGGCGTAGAAAAGGGGAAAGGGAGGAACTCAGTAGAGCGCGGTAACCGGACAGGTGTACGGAGGAAAAGAGGTGGCAAAGGGCGCCACACACACACACACACCCGCAGACAATCCGCCCAAGTTCGCTACTTCACACGCAGAAATGAAATTGGCGCGCTTCCGTTGCTGCGGCTGCTGCCGCCGCCACCACCACCGCCGCCGCCGCGTTGGTTGCCTGCCGCCCCACACGACACATTCAACTCGCGGAGGCCACATGCAGCAACAATAACCACAAACAAACAATACAAAAAAAAACAACAACAACAACAATCAGCGTTATTCACGACATGTGCTACTCCTCCAAATACCACGACGCATGCCACTGCCAGTGTGGGCGAGAGGCTACGCGTCCATTTGGGTTTACACGACCCAAAGCAAAGGCCCCGTCAACGTCGGGCGTGACGGCGCCTCGCTGACCGCGTCTGGAGCGGACGCGCTGCGCGCCGCCACAGCGGGGAGGATAGAGAGAAGGGGGGATAGAGAGAGAGACAAAGAAAGGAAGAGGGCAGGCGGGACGCGGCATCGGGGCAGCAGCCGGGTGGGAATGTGAACGGCGACGGCGCAACCAACATCTCCTGCGGCGTGCCTTCCACGCGGTGCCTTCGCTCTTCACCCCCCTCTTGCTCTGCGAGTTTTATTCCTTCTTTTTTTTTCCCCTCGGCCTCCTTTCATTCTCCCACAGTCGCACATGGGGGACTGTCGCTGCCGCCCCCCGATCTGCGACTGAGCCACACCGGCAGCTCCATCTGCTCCTGCTGCGCTCGCGCCGTGGCGTCCTCCAGCAGCGCCCGCTGGCCCAGCGCCGGCCGCTCAAGGGCGTCCGCCTCCTCCGCGCCGAAGAATGGGCCGCCGCATGCCGCTACGGTGTCTGCCGGAGGGCCGATGGCGCCGTCCTCCGCCCTGCGCCTCCTCCGGTCCTGCGTGGCACCGGCACTCTCCTCCTCCTCCTCCTCCTCCTCACCGCCGCCGCCGCTGCCCAAATAAACAGTGGCCTCAATGCAGTCGTCACCCGGTTGCGAACTCCCGCGCGAGACCGCATGGGCGCAGCTGCTGCTGCTTCCGCCGCCGCCGCCGCCGCCGCCAACGGCACTTGTTTTCTCTTGGGAACTTCTCCACGCCGCTGCGGGGGTTGTCAGGCGTGGCGGCGTTGACGAGCCCTGCATGCACTTCTCTAGCCGCTCCAGCGCCGCGGCACAGTCACGCGCCGACAAGGACGACGCCGACGCCACGCGCGGCTGCGGTACAGGAGCGCGCTCCCGCTGCGGCAGCAGCTGCCGCCGACTACTCTCCTGCAGGTTAATTTGCCCCGCCCACGCTTCGGCGGGCGCCTCCGGCTCCATGAAGAGAATTGTCGCGGGGTCCAAGAAGGAGAGCGGCAACGCATCGAGCAGCACCACACCGTCGGCCCTCAACGTTTGCCGTGCGCCTGCCACGCCCACCTCACGCTCCAGCGCCGTCTTGAGGTCAACGACACACGCCTTCTCAAGCAGCAATCGCGGCAGAACGACACGCACAACAAGCGGCCCAAACGCAAGCCTTGGATCCGTCCCCGTGTCACTCGCGGTGCCGTCGCTGTGGTAGTCATCACCGTCCCTGCTAGCTGCGCCCGATGCAGCCTTCACCACCACCAGCAGCGTGACGATGTCACTTCGCTCCGGCGGGGGCGGCAACAGCGGCGCCGGGCGCGGGGCGGGCCTCCACGTCGGCAGCACGTCTCCCGCCGCGTCCGTGGAAGGCGTCAAGCCAACAAACAGAGGTCTCGAGGGGCTCGGAGTGTCCGCCCATGTCATCGGCATCCGTGGCTGACGCGACCCCTGCCGTGCTGGCGGTTCTTCCTGCTGCAACGGAGCGGGCGGCCTCGCTTCCCTCGCCAGCACGCGTGGGGCGACGCCCTCGTTCTCATGCTGCGTCGGAAAGCTCCCTCTCTTTCCCGCGGCTGCGGCTGTCGCCGCCACAACTCGCCTCGTGGAGGCTTCCGCCGGCAACGTCGGTTCGCCTGTAGCGGGGAAATCGCTGGAGGAAAACCCCCGCGAGCTCACGGGCGGCGTACGACTGGGCGACCTGCTGCAAGTTCCCTCCGGTTGCGGTTCAGGCCATGACGACAACTGCGCCCCCCACGGGCGTCGTGGGGCCTCCCCACACGGCGCCTGCAGCGATTTCCGCTCGGCCTGAACCGCCGCGGCGTCGTGCGTCCCGACGAGTAAATCGTCGATGGGCGGGGCCAGCACCATCGCCGCGGCGGCTGAGCGGCGGGCGGAGGTGCGACTTCTCTCGGGGCGGCTTCGCGGGAAATGGGGCGGGGCACGCGGCGGTGCCGTGCTCGCGTTTGGGGCGAGACGATTGATGCTCGAGCAGCCCCGCGACGGCGGACGCCCCGCCCACAGCACCCCAGCGACGCGCTCGCTCAGGCGGACGCGAGGCCTAACCACGGAGGCTGCGCCGGCGTCCATCGGCTTCTAATTCACACACACGCACACACAGAGTGAGAGCGAGAGGGAGAGGGTGCTTGCATACACGAAAGCAATACACATACATACATATGTATTACTTGCATCTGCATATTGAGGTGCCAAGCATGCGTTCATGCGTGTGTGTGTTCGGCTCGTTTGAGCCTGTCTCTCAGGAACAGGTGGACGCCGGAGTGTGCGTGCCAAAAAGCCCCCTTCCTTTTGCCGTCGCCAGAAAACAACAACGACCACAGAAACAAAACTTCTCTCTACCTCTCTCGCAGAAGAGAGAGAGAGAGAGAGGTGGAGAGGTAGAGAGCTTCCATTGCCTTCACTTTTACGCCCACAGTGCGGTCGACGCGGCGGTGCGTTCACGTTGTCTCAATGGGCTGGGAAAGAAGGTAGACGTACCTTGTCAGGAGTGTGCTCCAGCAGCGACTGCCAATGACGTCCGCGTCTGCCCACGCGGAGCACAACTGCTTCAGCCAAGAAACGAGCAGCATGGCGATCATGCAGACAGCGTCGCGGTCTTCCTTCTTCACATGCACCGCCGCGGTCGTGTTGTGCGCCGGGGGTGCCGCCGCGGACAATTTGGCCTGCACGTGCACGTACGCCGCCTGGTCAACGTCGAGCGGCAGGATGCCCTCAAACTCTTCCGCACCGGGCGGCTTCGCCGAACTCCGCGGCGTCTCGCGTGCGTTGTCCACCTGCAGTGAGCCGTACTGCTGCACCGTGCAGAGTGCCACGAAGAGGGTGGCCTCAATGAGCGTCGGCATGATTTTCTCAAGCGCGCGGTTCAACAGACGCACAGGGGGCGACGCCGGCTGCGTCGACGCTCCGCCCGGCACTGCAGCATGCGGCACCTCGGCGCTCGTGGGAAAAGGTCGACCGGCAGTGCCGCCGCCGCCACTATTAGTACTATTGTTATTATTATGGCGGCTGGCCGCAATGGGCGGGGCGGTGGCGCCGCCGCCACGCTCCTGGTACGATGGGGCGATGTCCGCCACCTCCTCGTCGGTCAGCGCCGCCGCAGCCCCGTTCCTGCCAATGTCGTTTAGAGTGAAGAGGTACGAGAGGCACATGCAGCACCGCGCCGCCGCATGCAGGGCCGCCTCGCCGCAGCCAGCCCGATCCACACAGTCGTCGTCGTGGGGCCCGGCCGACGCGTATGCCAGCCGCACCACCTCGTCGAGGAGGAGGCTCAGCAGGTGCAGCGCGGCCTTTTGATGCTCCACCGCGAACACCATGCGCTGCGCGATGCGCTCGCCGTCCAGCACGACCGCCGTCAAGGCCTTGAGCCGCTCCTCCAGCGGCAGCCCAGCGGCGCTCGCTACCTCCGTGACGTGCTGCTCCATGCGCAGCAGCGCCTGCCACTCCGCGACGGCCGCCTTGTCGAGCGTGACAAAGAAGGCCCCCTCTGACACCGACATTCGCGACAGCCAAGACGCGGTGGGAACCGGTTGCGGGGGCGTCGCCGCGTCCGCCTTTCTGTCGCCCTCCTCACCCCTGCCCGCCTTAAGTGAGGAGGACGGGGGGGCTTTAAAGGCGTCAAGCAGGCACTCCGGACCACTGGGGATCGCCGGCGGCGGCACCCACACATACGCCTCATTGCCGCGCTCAATTTGGTACGGCTCTGTCCTCCATCGCAGCAGCGTGTCGCCCTGCAGGAGAGAGTAGAGGCGCCAGCGGTAGTACAACTGCATGGGGTCCCGCCATGGGGCATGGATAAAGGCAAAGTGAGGGTTGTTTTCCTCGCGTTTCATGATCTCCTCCTCCGCCGTGGGTCCACCCTGCACCACGTAAAAGGCGATGAGGTCTAAAAAGGCCGTGACATCCACCGGCAAATCATGCGGCACGTGAAGGCGGGGGGCAATGTCCGGGATGGTGTACGGCATTTCCTCACGGCGGCGGCGAAACGGCGGTCGGCGAGGCGGCGAGTTACGGCGCTGCTGCGGTTGTGGACGGTAGTACTGGGACTGGCCGTGGCCCCCGCTGTAGTGGGGAGGCGCCTCCGGGCTTGGGGAGCGCTGCCGCCGCATCCCCGCACCACCACCACCGCGGCTGCCGCCGTAGTAGTAGTTGTTGTAGTTGCCGCCGCTGCTATGATGGTACGACATCGCTGACGGCGGCGACGCCAACGCAACGGCGTGTGTCGCAACGAACCCCCGCGACGAAGCGCAGGAAACTGATGATGGTAACTGACGCCCACAGTCCGCCGGTGAAACTCCCACTTGGGTTTCCCTTACACCGCGTGCCTGCCTCCTCGTGTGTGTTTGGCTGTCTCTCTCGCGCCCGCTCACGCGCTACCCGTTCTCTTTCTATATATTTGTGTGTGTGTGTGTGTGTGTGGCAAGTGCGCCCGATGCGAAAGAAGGAAAAGCAAACAGCAGCAGCGGCTGCACGAATAAAAAGTGGGGAGTCAACGAGTAGGAGGAGGAGGAGGTGCACGCACGGCACCATGCACAGTATCCCTCTACTTGTGCCTCTGCACGATGGGCGCTACGGCGGGCCTCCCTTTTTTTTGCCGAGCCACTTCCCCGCTTCTTCCCTCTTTGCAGCGTATTCTCACAGCCGCAGTCGGTCGATCTCGGCACGCTTGAACTCCACCCGACAGCCCAGCACGCGCCGCTTTTCCTCCGCGGTGAGTCCCTCGCAGACGTCCTGCTCCGCGTCCCTCGGGCTGTCGAGCAGCAGCAGCGAGGTGGCGCCGGTGAGGGGCAGAAACGGCTCCCGCAGCTGCAGCTCGTGGGCGCGCCCGAGGAAAAAGGCGCGTAGCGTGCGCACGTCGCGGTCCACCTGCAGTGCCCCGTACCCGCTGAACGACTTCTGCAGCAGCGCCTGCCACATCGTCCGCACCACGCGCCGCACCAGGGCGAGGAGGAGCATGTCAAAGCAGTGTGTGTCGAGGGCCGCGTCGAAGGGGCACAGCGCCGCATCCGCCGCGGCGACGCAGGCCTGCACCCACGGATCGCTCAGCTCGTAGTGGTAAAACACCTCCTCCGTGAGGTTGTAGGAGAGGGCAGAGAAGCGCTCGAGGTGCGAGGCGAGGTGGGCCTGGTAACAAACCTCTGCGTACTGCGTGACCCACCGCGACACGGCCTCCGCGAGCTCGCGCGCGAGCACGTCCATGTCCTCCGCCTGCTCTGTGAAGCGCAGAAGGTCCTTCACGGAGAAGTTGGCGCGCGCCAACTGCCGCAGTTCCTCCGCAAGCCTCTGAGCGTACGTCGTGGTGCGGTGGGCGGCGGCGGTCCAGCGCAGCAGCCGCGACGGCAGCGTGAGGTCGGGGCGCCGCTGCCGCAACTGCTGCAGCTGCGCCGGCGGCGGCAGCGCGGTGTTCAGCTGCAGCACAGGCACCAGCTTGGACTGCACCAGCTCGATGCAGGCGATAAAGACGGCGGAGATAATTTGCGTCGACTTCGTGTTCACCGCGCGGTGCAGGGCGATGCGAAGAAAGAAGAACACGTCGTCGGGCAGCGTGATCGCGACGTGGTCCGTGGCGGCGTCCGTCATTTTTTCCTCCGCCTCGTCGCCAGCGGCAGCAGCAGCAGCGGCTCCACCACCACCACCGCCGCCCGCCGCAGTGGAGGTGTACAGCGCCGCAAGCCCACTCATAAACGTGGCTGCCTTCTTTGGGGACGACGGACTGCCGTGCGCCTCAGCTCTTCTGCCGCGGCCCGGCAGTGTCGCCTCTCGTGCCGCGACGTGTAGCGCGTCCATCTGCAGCCGAAGGGCCTGCTCAAAGGCCGCGTCAAAGTACAACTTCTGCAGCGGGACAAAAACACCCAGTATCTCCTGCACCGTGTTCATGAGCGGGTTGTCGCGCGAGGACCACAAGGCGTCCACGGAGTCCGTCGCAGCTCCCTGTGGCTCGGGTTGCCGCTCAGCGTCCCCCGCCGTCCCGTGCGTGTACTCTCGCTGCTTCGACTGGGCAAAGGCCCAGTACAAGTGGCAGCACGACACGAGGTGGGACATCTCCTCCAATATTTGATCCGTGCGTCGCGGGTCGACGGGGAGCGGCGCCGCGGAGCTTGCGGGGGGGCCGCTGGGAAGGCGGCTCGCACCGGTGCTGTTTGCGTGCATGTCACCGGCGGCTGTGACGGAGCTCAGCACCTCCTGCCGCTTCTTCAGGAAGTCCTTCAGCACCGGCACACACTGGCTGGTGGACTTGCTGTGCAGCTCCGTCAGCAGCCGCAGCAGCCCGGCGTCGCCAAACGTCTCCCGCATGAACTCCTCCTCGTTCTCGAAGGCGGCCACGACAACGTCGAGGACGGTGGACACCAGCCCAAGGTGGCTCATGCCGGCCTCGGTCGGGTCGTCCATCTTGCGCAGCTCCCGCTCCACCATCTTCTTGAGCGCGGCGATGGTGTGCTCGCAGAGCCACGCGCAGTAGAGCCCGCAGCCCTCCTCGCGGAAGCCCAGCCGCGTCAGCAGCCGCGTGGCGTGCATGATGGTCAGTTTGTCGTTCGCGCGCGAGGCGGTACGGAGCTTCTCTAGCAGCTTCTCCCGCGCCGCCTCGCGCGCCGAGGCAATGATGCCCGCCGCCTCACGACGACGACGACGACAGGGATGTCGCTGACGACGACGGCCGCCGGCGTCTGCGCTCCCCGTCGATTGGGCCGCAGCGGAGCGCGGAGGATGCGGCACGGTTTCCGCGCCATCCGCCGCCTCTGCCTCCGCCCCCGCCGCCTGCCAAACGTTTGCGTCACCCCTGCCTCCTCCGCCCTGCTCCGGCTCGCCGACGCTGCCGTTCTCCGCGCCCGCGTCCGCGTCCGCGCCCTCCTCCTCGTCTTCGTCGTGCTGCAGCAGGGCGGAGGGGGCGCGGCCGCCGAGGTTCGCGCTCGCCGCCTCGTACTTGCAGATGAGCTCCACGGTGCGCTCCAGCTCGCCGGCGTCGATCGTGTCAGTCACCCCGGCCACCGTGCGACGCATCTCCTGCAGGGAGTCCGCCACCACCTGCGCCTCCCGCACCCGGCGCAGCAGCGCGTCCAACTGCTTCACCCGTCGCGAGCTCCGCTCTGCCAGCGAGGCACTCACGCCGATGGTGCGCGCCAGGCTGGCGCTCGTGTCCACGAAGGAGAGCAGCATGCGCCGCGACACCGCCCGTACCTCCTCCACGCACGCCGAGAGGCTTGCAGTGTCGGCCACGGCCTGCGAGACCTCCTCCACGAGCTCGTCCCGGCGCTCGGCACCTTTGGCAATGCGGCGCAGCAGCGCATCCACGCGCTCCTCGAAGTTGTCGAGGCGCTGCATGACGGCTGCGATGCTGGGGGGTCTGGGCGCCTGAAACACGGCGAACGCTGTCGCTTGCCAACAAAGGAGACCAAAATAATACTAATAATAAAATACTGTTGTTCCTGCCGCCGTTCTTGACATGCGTGTGCGGGCGTGCGTGAAGATGGAACGAGCGGGATAGAGACGGACAAAGCGGAAGAAGGGCGGCGAGGCGAAGCGGCGCACGCGCCGTGCTCCCTGCCCGAAGCAAGAAGAATAATAATGCTAACACCAACAGCAACCGAACGGGCAGCAAACAGGCGCAAGCTCCTCCGAGGTCGCATGCAAGTGTAGAGAGGGAAGAGAACCCTCTTCTGCTTTTAATCATTGGGTTCGCGTTTGTGTGGTTTGTTGTTGTTGTTGTTGTTTTTTTGTTGTAACTCCTTCGCGCGTCAATTTCTTTTTCCCTCTGCGCTGTTTCTCCGCTTCTCTTCTGCGACGGGCGGGGCGTGCATCGTCAGAGCCGCCTGCCCTCCCTCCCCGCACAGGCACACAGGCATATGCCGCGCAAGCGAGAGAGCGAGCGGAGTTCCTGCTACGCCGTGATGGCGCCGTACGGGGAGCCCCGCGTGAAGGCCTCCATGAGCGCCACGAGGGCGGGCGGCACCTGCACAAGGCGGCACCGCTGCTGGCGAATCATCTCCGCGCCACGCCCACCGCCGGCGCCGTTCGCCTCGGCGCAGCCCACAAGAAACGCCCAGAGCGGCTGCAGCAGCGGCTCGTCCTGCGGAAACGACGGCGGGGGGGCGCCGCCCGCGGCGCCGTCCCGCTGCGGCGGCTCCGTCCGCCGACGCGTTCGCGGCGGCTCCTCCGCATTCTCTTCAGCCCCCTCGTTATCGTCCGCGTCGTCCGCGGCGCCCAGGGCGAGCAGGTTTGCGTCCACGTCGTTGCCATTCTTCGTGCCTGTCAGCTCGCGTCTGTCGAGTTCCTGCGCCCTGCTCCTTGCGGAGACGCCTGCCAGGCCAAGCGGCTGCTGTGCCGCCGCGTCGTCGCCGCGCAGCACGTGCTGCTGGGCGCGCTGGATCAGCGCAGAGGAAAGGCACAAGAGAGCGACCGCCACCCCGCTCGCCCCCGCGCGGCCGGTTCTGCCGATGCGGTGGATGTACTTCTGCACCGCCTCCTCCCCCGCACTGGCCGCGGCCGCGGCGGGATCGACGCGTGGCATGTCGTAGTTAATCACTAGCGTCACGTTCGGCACGTCCAGGCCGCGGGCGAGGAGGTCGGTGGTGACGAGCACGCGGCGCTCGCCCCGGCGGAAGAGGTCGACGAGGCGGCGCCGCTCCGGCTGCGACTGCTCCGAGTGCACCAGCGCCGTGGAGCGCAGGTTGCCGAGGTTCGGCGCGGGCCGCCGCCGCGGCGGTTGGCCGCCGTCGTGGGAGGTCCCCTGCAGGGCGGGCGGCGCCGCCCCAACGAGCGCCTCCAGCGAGAAGTTCTCCTCCAGCGCGGCGAGGTGGTCCGCCTCCGCACGCAGCTCCTCGCACAGGGCGTCGCAGGTGCGGCGCTCGTTTGCGAAGACCACCACCGGGGGGGCCGCGTACGCCACGTACGCCACGAGCCGGGCAAACTTCATGGGGTGCAGCAGCGGATGGCGGCGGCGCTCCAGCGGCGGCGGTGGATGGGAAGTTTGGCGTGACGTCCCGTGCCCGTCTTCGCCCACGCCGGGGATCGTCGTCGCCTCCGCCGGCGCCCCGCCCGCGTCGCTAGGCAGCATCTCAAACACCTGCGTGATGGTTGCGCAGCGGTTTGGCACCCGCACCACGACGAAGCCGTCCGGCGAAAAATACTTCAGCGCCACCTCCTCGCAGGCTGCGCTCAGTGTGGCGGTGAACATCACCGTCTGCCGCGGCAGCGGACACCGCTCGAGCACGGCGACAAGCGTGTCCCTCTGGTGCTCCTCAATCATGCGGTCGGCCTCATCCATGACGACGAGGCGCGTGTTGCCCAGGGCGAGCAGCCGCTGCTGCAGCAGCGCCTCCAGCTGCCCCAGCGTGCCAACCACCACGTGGGCGCCCCTCGCCAGCTCATCGTACTGCGCCTCCACCGCCTCCCCGCCCACCACCTTCACCACGCGAATCTCGTCCAGCGTGTTGTGCCCCGCGGCCGCGCTCTCGCCGCCGGCGTCCTTGTACTCCTCCTGTAGCAGTCGCCGCAACTCTGTGGCAGGGACGCCGTGCACAAGGTCCAGCGCCTCCCGCGTCACCTGCTCGGCAAGCTCGCGTGTGGGCACCATCACGAGCGCCAGCGGGCCGTGTGAGATGAGGCTCTCATTGCCAAGCAGCCGTGGGGTGCGGCGCAGGACGTCCGCCAAGAGCGGGACAAGGTAGGCCGCAGTCTTGCCGCTGCCGGTCTCGGCCACGCCAAGCACGTCAACCCTTCCGCTTGGGGTCGCCGCTGCCGCCATGAGAAGCGGGACACACTGCGCCTGAATCGGCGTCGGAAGCACGTAGCGGCGAGCGACAAGCGTTCCAAGCGCAAGCGGCAGCCGGGCCTCCTCCCAGCAGCGCACCGGAGAAAGTGCGTCGGCGGTGTACCGCAGAGGTCGCCTCTGCTGCTCGGGTTGCTGCTGGCCGGCTGGACGGCGGGACACCACCTCCACAGCGATCCCCACCTGCGCGCGAAACACGTCCCACCCCGCCGGCGTCATTTCCTGCAGCGGACGTTGACTCCAGTGCGACGCCTGCCGCGGATGTGCCAGCTGTGGCTCGTGCTCGCCCGCCACCGCCTCCCCCGTGACCAACGGCAGCGACGACGGATTTGCGGGGGCGACGGAGGCCGGTGGTTGCAGCTGCTGCTGCCGTCGCAGTTTGCGCTGCAGCAGCGGATCCCGCGGCCCAACACCGCGGCGGGCGAGGGACGGAGGCACTACCGGCGCAGCGCCCACGGACGGAGCCCCCGCTTTCCGCGCCGCCGCGTCGCCGTCGGGCCGCTGCTGCTGCTGCTGCGGCGGCGGCGGCGGGCGATGTCCCTCGTGCCCCGCCTCTGCGAAGCGCACGACGGCGCCGTAGAGCGGCGAGGCCCGCACCGCCGCAGGGGGCGCCGCGCCCCCGGCATCCCGCGCCGAGAGCAGCTGCCGCACTTTGTGCGGGAAGGCCATGTTGACGTCACCGGTGGGGCCGTCAAAGAGGCGCGGCGCCGGCGCACCCGCGCCGTGGCCATCCCCCGTCGCGCTCGCCATCGTCGCGGCCGCGCGTGTCCGGGACTCACGTGCGAGCAGCGCCGCAACCCGCGGCGAAACGCGACAAGCGACGAAGAAGAAGAACTAACGAAGAAGTGGAGGAAACGAGAAGAAAGTGGCGGCGGCCGCGTGGTTGGGGGGGAGGCGACGAAGGCAGCGCGAGGCGGAAGACGGGGGAAGAAAAAAAGAAAAAACAAGAGTGAACGAGAAGCACGCGCAGGAACAGGGAGGGAAAAAACAAACAAACAAACAAAAAACAGCAGCAGCGACGAGGCCAAAAGCAACGCGCAAAGCGCCCTACGACGACGAAGCAGCAAAAAAAAAAGTAAGCATAAAGTCTGGAAAGACCAGGAAGGAAAAAACAACAACAACAAACAAACAAGCAGAGTTTTAAAGCACAGTGCAGAAGAAAGTAGTCACTACGCCCACCGACAGAAAAAAAAAAAGAAGGTGGACAAGGGAGGGAAAAAGCGAGGCGCACGCAAGCGTGTCTGCTTCTGCTTATACGTGGGCCAGGCACACGCACACACAAACGCACATTAGCCAAACTTCTTACACGCGGGCGGACGCGGCGAAGCATTGACGCCGGGCCCCGCCAGAAGAGAGCGGCGGAAAAAACAAACAAACAAACAAACAAACGAGAATGGAGAGTTGTGAACGGCAGTGAGGCGTGACAAAAAGGCGGGAACTCACAGAGAGAGAGAGAGAGAGAGGGAACCAGCGGAAGCATAAGCACCCGACATCCCTCCCCTTTCCTCGCTGGAAGAGCACCTTAGCCGCACTCCCGCATGTCTACCAAGCAAAAATCATCCTTGCCTCGTTCCTCCTTGTCGCCTTGCTATGTCCTTTTGCCTTCCTTTTCTTTTGCTTTTGCTCTTTTCCTTTTTCCTTTGCACCCTACTCTGGTGTCTTCTCTTCCCAAGACACTCGCACTTGATGTTGTTGTTGTTTTCTTTTTTTTTGCACTTTTATCGCCTTCGCCACACTTCCCGCCGTTTTGTGGGTACTGACAACACTTCTTTTCCTTTTTTTTTCGTTTTCCTCCCAAATCGTCTCCCCCACCTCCCCACCCCACACACCACCCCCTCCGCGCTGGCCGCCGGACTGTCTTGCTTCGTCGCCGTTTCGCATCCCCCGCTGCTTCGCAGCGAACTTCGCGTGTGCCTCATTGTCGTCGTATTCGGGGGGGGGGGGGTGTTCGCTTGCGTGTGTTTGCTCCCTCTCTCTCTGTGCGGCACACTCTGCGCCTCTCCCTGGGGCCTCCAGCGTCCGCGTTCGCCCCCTCCTCCCCGCTCCCCGCTCCCCCCATTTCCGCTCGTCCGTCTACCCCGCGTGCCTGCACGTGCGCCGCTGCACCGCAACACACGCTGAGGAAGAGGCGAGGGAGGGGCGGAACAATCGCGTTGGAACAACAACAACAAAACAAAACAAAAAGTACGTACTGCGCACGCCCAAAGACGCCGCATTTCCACAACAGAACACAACCACACAAAAAAAGCAAAAAAAAACACACTCACTCGCAGTAACTTCACAGCTACGTCAGCGTCCATCCACCTACACACACACACACACTCATGCGCGCATACGCATACGGCGGGGGGGGGGGTGCCCCGTTTGCGTCGGGCCCGACGTTATTGCAAGCGCGCATGTGTGCCGACAGAAGGGGGATCCGAGAATGAGTACTTGGCGCTTTTTAATCCTTTTATTTCTAATCCTTTTCTTTTGTTTTGTTTTGCTGTCCATCTATGCCCACGTGCATGTGTGCGTGTGTGTGGTTGAGTTTCACCACCTACACCTCTTTCCCTCTCTCTGTCTCTCTTCAAGGTTTTTTTTTGCGTGTGTGTATCACCACTCTACGCTGCTTTTGCGGTTGCCGGGCGGCGCGACTAGAGCTCGTCAAGCATGCGGTCCAGGTCCGCCCTTGGGCTGCGGCTGTTCTGCCCCGGGGTTGCACCGGCGGCGTTGGCTGTTTGGTTGCCTTCGCTGCGGCGGTGGCGGTGGCGGTGGCGGCTGCTGCTTCGTCTACTGTGGCGTCTGCCGCGGCCCCCCTCCACGCCGCCGTTGGTTTCCCCGCCGTCCTCGTCGCGCGCGTCGGATCGGCTGCGGTGCTCGCGCGACCTAGGGCGGTGGTGGCCGCCGCTGTGGTGCCGCCGCCGCGGCGTGCCGACGCCGCCAGCCTCCTCCGCCGGCGCCCCTGCCGCGAGGTCAGTCGCGGGGCCGGCGGCTTCGGCGACCATCGCCCCACTTACGTCGCTCGCGTGACGGCGGCGGCGGTGCTGGCGTTGGCGGCGGCGCGAGCTGCTGCTGCTGCTGCGGTGTCTGTGGCGCCTTGCGCCGCCCTCCCGCACCTCCAGCTCCACCGCCGCCGCGCCAGGCTGCGGGAGCTGTTGGCTCACTCGCGGCATGACGCCGATTGGGTACGCGTTCTGCATCCGCATGTACCACTCGTACTGGTACTGGTGCCACGCCGACATCGTGGGGTCGCGGTCGACGTTGGGGCACTCGCAGAGGTCAATGAGAGGCGCGGTGCTGCCTGTCATGAGGCGCCACGCCGGCTCCGAGAAGCCGGCGCGTTTCACGTCGTTGAAGTCCATAAAAAACATGTCGCAACGAATGCAACCGGGCATCTCATCGAGGGGAAGCGCGGGGCGCAGGTTCCCAATGCCGGGCTTGCACAAGGTGCGGATAAGCAGCCACGGCACAAAGAAGACGACCCACAAGACCAACTCGACAAATATGTTTACGAGGGGCCAGGCGAGGTATACCGTGACGCAAATGACAGAGGCGGTAAAACGGGTATTGTATTCGACCAGAAAATCTCGCAGTTTTCCCTTTGTAGAGTGACGGTAATAGGAATAAAAGTCCCAGTAGGAGTACAAGAGATTGCACACCCAAAAGAAGACAGCCACACCCATCACAAACCACGCAATGCGCATGAATTCGTAGAAGGGCGTGCCGTATAACTGAATGGGCCCTTCGCTGGGGGGCACAGCAGATGGTATTGCAAACTGCTGCCGCTGCTGCTGGACTTGTTGTTGTTGTTGTTGTTGTTGTTGCTGTTGTTGCTGCTGCTGCTGCTGCTGCTGCTGATCCTTCGGTTCCTGCGCAGCTGCGCCCTCCTCCAATTCACGGGCAGAATTGTCCAATTCATGCTTGCCTTCGTTCTTACTTTCGCGCTTGCGGCCGCGCTTCCGTTGCGGCGGCTCCTGCTCCTGCCCCTGCTGCTGCTGCTGCTGCGGCGGCGGCTGAGGGTTGAGGGCAAGGTTGGCCTCGCGCTCAAGCTTGCGGCGCTGGCAATCCACGATGTTGGCGTAAACAAACGCAAAGATGGAGAACAGCATGGCGAGGAAGTACAGGGTGTAGCACTGCATGTTCCACGCGCCGAGCTGGACGGCAAGCGTGTTTGCGTTGAGATTATTATTCAAGCAGACACGACCAGAGACACCGAGCAGGCGCCTGAAGGTGCAGCTGGAATTCGCAACAATAAGGTCCTCTATGGAGCTCTGCAGTTCAACGGTGTCGGTGGCGCCAAACTCCTTGAACAGGTCCTTACCTACCCCCAAGGCCACCACCACGATGAAGGCCACAATGCTCAAGATGGTAAATAAAACCATCACACAATAGGTGTAGTCACAACGGGAGGTGAGGCAATCCATGCATCCCGGCGTCGTCGGTGGTCCACAGCAGTACGGATCTATTGGGCCGGCGTTGCAGAAACAGCCGCCACCCGTGGCTCCGCAGCCACCGCAGAGTCCAGGCTGGCCGGGAGTGCCACAACCCATTTCCTCACAGCAACCCTGCTGATTGTACCCCTGCATGTACGGCGGCATCCCCCACGCCGACGGTGGACCGAGCTGCGGCTGTGGAAACATGGGAGGCTGCTGCTGCTGCTGCTGCTGCTGCTGCTGACCTGGAGCAACATTGCTTGGGACGGCATGTACGGAGGCGGGTACGATGACTGCATCCCCACGGAAGGCGGCGCGCCATTCATCGCCTGCCACTGCGGCCCCAGCGACATCCGTGGTTGAGGCAGCTGCTGCGGCGAAGGCGGCGGCGGCGGCTGCTGCCGCGGAGTTGGCGGTGGTGTTTGCTGGAGCTGTGTTTGCTGGGGCTGGGGCGGCGGGTACCAAAGGCCGGGCCCTGGCGGCCGAACCTGCTGCGCCATTAGATGGGTGTCTACGTGTGTATCTGCTACTTCCGTCAAATAACTTTGCGGCCGCGGAGTCGTGTGAGAGGCAAAAACAAACAAACAAAAAAAACAACAACAAACAAATTACACGCAACACTCAGAACCGTACGATAGGCACACAGACATGAGGAAAAGAGGGGACAGCAGCAAAAGCAAGAAAAAAAAACAAAAACAAAAAAAACAAAAACAATAACAACTAATAGCAAGAAAACTAATGCAGGCAAATATGACGCGTGTTGTAGGAGCAAACAACAGAGCGAATCATAATACAACGCCCGTCTTATTCAGAGTTCGATAGCGTGGCGGTTATCCTCGCGGCGCCACTTCTCCCAGACGGCCTGGGCGTCGTGGTAGCTCCTGTAGCTGCGCGCGCACGGCCGCTCCACCTGTGCGGGACGGTGCATGTGACGCGGGTGTCCATCCAACGTGGTGTTCCCCGCCGCGTAGTTCACCACCGCTGCGCCGCAGAGGCGGCACGCTGAGCACGGCGTCGTGCCCTTCGGCAGGTAGGAGCAGGTCTCGACGCAGGCGCGACACGCCTGACGGCTGGCGGTGTCCAGGGCGCCAAACACGGCGGGTGTGCCGCTGCCGCTAAGCGGGAGACAGAGGTGGTAGGCAAGGAGATGCAAGTAGCCGCGGGTGGCACGGCCCCAATAATTGCGCTCCTCCGCCACCATGGCATCAAACCGCCGGTCGACCTTGTCGATGCGAAACACGCTTCCACCGCTCGCGTTGCCGTGCTCGTTGCCCACCATCCAGTTGTGTGGCAGGGGATCGCTGTAGCGCGGCGTGGCGATCATGCCGCCCAGCAGCCGCAGGCGCTCGTAGTGGGAGATGCCCATCCCGAGCAGGCTGTCAACGCTCACTGAGGGAATGTACTGCAGGGGATGAATCACGCGGTCCGCCGTCCGCGTGGCGTTGGAGCGCGCCAGTTGGACCACGCGGTAGCCCACCTGACTGTTGTTGTAGGCGCAGACCACCGCGCGCCCCCACTGCACAAGCGGGGCATCCCACGTCTTGCGGCAGACACGCGACGAGCGTCTCACGGTGAGCCGAAACAGCCGTAGCCGGGCACGGCCGCCTGCGTCGTTGTCGGGGCCAGCACTCACGCCCCTGAGACCACGACGAGGCTGCGGGCGCCGCACGACAAACTCCGCCACGACGTCGCAGTCCACCACGGCGTTCACCTGCAGCTCGCGCAGGGCGTCTGCGTTCAGCTGCACGGGACGGGGGACACAACGCAGCCACTGCCGCCGCAGCGCGTCGCAGCTCAGCTGCGGGAGAGCTGCCAGGACGGCACCGCTGTTGTGCAGGGCGTGCGCGACAAGCTGCACGAGCCCGTCGCCCGTCTCCCCGGCCTGCAGGAGCGGTGCGAGCGGCAAGGCAATCGTCGACACACTAACAAAGTTGCAGGAGGTGAAAAATGGCGCAAAGCCGCCCAAAAACCCGTCGCGCGCGACCACGCGGATGAGGTTGGGCAGGGGTGGGGCTGCTTCCAGCGGGAAGCCGCGCGCCGCGTCGTCGGGGTGGTAGACGCAAAGCACCGTGCTGCGCGGGTGGCGCCGCGCGAGTGCGACTCCGATGCGGCAGCCGTAGTCCACAACGACGGGGGCGGTGTCGTGCGTGGCGGCCGCAATGAAGTTGCCGAGGTGCGCCAGCAGCAGCTCCCCCACCTCCCGCAGGTAGTCGGCGGTGAGGGCGCGCAGCGGGAAGGTGTCGGGGCGGGCGCCGTCGTCCGCAGGCAGCATCGACACCACATTCCGCCGCGCCCGCGCAACCTCCTCCGCGCCGACGGGGTTCGTGTTGTCGCTGCCCTGCAGCTCCTCACCCCGCCGGCGCCGCCGCTGCTGCCGCTCGTACTCGCGCAGCAGCCGCTCGCCTACCAGTCGCGGGGCAAAGACGGGAGAAGGGACGCGTAGGAAGATTTGAACCGCCCCCGCTACCTCGGGGCCCGCCGCGCCCGCCTCCTCCGCGCCCCTGCCGGGGCCCCGCGCGACGGCGCTGCTGTTGCACACCGCCACCGCCAGCAGCAGCAGCAGCAGGACTACACCAGCGAGGGCCGTAACCACGCGCCCACGCTGGCGCCGCCGCGACATGTGCCACTATTACTATTATTGTTATTTTGCTGCTTGATTTCTTTTTCTTTTTTTTTCGTTCTCTCCCCACTTGTAGCCGTACTATGCGTGTGCACGTGTATTATGTCTCTGGGCGTGTGAAAGGAAGGAAGGAAAATCAATTGGGTTCGGAAACGATGACGGCCTCCGCGCAGCCCTGCCCTTCCCTCCACTCCAGCCTTCTTTTTGTTTTTCTTCTTTGTCACTGCACAGTTGCGAGGTCGTGCGTGCCTCCGCACCGCTTCTTTGCCTTCTGTGGGCCGTTGCGTGGGGAAACAGCCGCAATTCAGTCAACACGGCGCTTCTTTTGTCGTCTCCCGCTCCTCCTCCACAGAGGACACAAAAGACCTACAATACAGACAGAGCCACCCACCACACACACACACACACACGCAATCCCCATCCCTCTCGCTCTCGCTCTCGCGCTGCGGCTCCTTCTCCTCCCCCATACAAGTCCTACCCCCCTCCCCCAACCGCAACAGCGCCTCAAATGTGGCGGTAGTCGTAGTCCTCCGGGTTCATCCCGGCATCCTCCACGCTGCTGTTCGACTGCGACATCTCCGGCGCCCCGAGCTTCGTCAGCCCCCGCACCCACCACTCCATCTCCTGCTCCGTCTGGATCAGCTGGCCCTTCCCAAACTCCAGCCGCAGCTCCGTCCACTCCTCCCGCGCCGCCACGTCGGAGGCGGCGCCCCTGTCGAGGTTCTCCTGCGTTCCCATCGCCCACAGCCCCTTGTGGTCAATCTCAAAGACAAACGCGTTCGTCAGCTTCAGCGCAAAGTTCATGTTGAGTGACGGCACTAGCTTTTGCCGCGCCAGGTTCAGCATGCGGAGGAAGCGTGGCGCGCACCGGCAGAGCGGGTCGGGGTCGGGGATGGCGGGCTCCCACACCCGCTGCGTCTGTGAGACGACGTTCATCCACAGCTTCACGTCCGGCCGCAGCCGCAGCAGGGCGAAGGTCTCCGGCTTGATGACGTAAATGGGCCGCTCCTCGTCCTCCTCGGCGGTGGGGTTGCGCTCGCGCTCCTTGAACTTGGCACGCCAGTCGCTGCTGCTCATGCGTCGCATGCGCTTCTCGTCCTCCTCGCGCTCCCGGCGCTCAATGGCGACGACCTCCTCCTCCGTCTTGCTGTGCTTGCGGTTCCACATGTCCTGCGCGATGCTGTGGATCACCGGGTGTCGCGAAAAGGTGGTCTCCCACGCCTCCTGCTGCATGTCGCCGGCGAGCAGCTCCAGCGGGCCGGAGAGAATTGCCCGCGGCGGCAGCGTGCCGAGCTGCTTAAACCAGTGAAACAACTGGGGGTCGGTGTGCCCCACCATGAGACTCCCCCGCGAGCACTCGAGGACGTTGTGAAAGTGCTCCGAGTTCTTTGGCACCGCCACGACGAGGGACCAGTTCTCGTCCCCGGTGAACTTGTGCATGGCGTGGGGCTGCAGGTCACTTTTGACGGGCGCATCCCCCGCCTCCTCCTCCTTGCCGCCGCCGCCGCCAGGGCCGGAGCCGGTGCCCATGGGAATGCCGGTCTCCTTCAGCCGCCGCACGTTGCTTGTCGTGAGTTGTCCGGTGCGGTACGTCCAGAGCGTGTTGAAGAGGCGCGTGTTGTACGGGGCGTCGCGGTTGGACTGCACCTTCTGCTTGATGGTGCGCCCCACGCCCCCCGCCGCGGCTCTGCCGGTTGACATCTAACACAGACGCTCAGGGAAACTGAGAGAAGACGGCAAAAATGCGTCAACCAGCAATACAGAAAAAAGAAAACAAAAAAAAGGAAAACATAATGTATGGGGTGTAACTTCCACAAACACACACACACACACAAAGACGCTCGTGACAACACGCCGCCTCCCTCTTCTGCCCCCTCACTGCCCCTCCGCAACGCCTGTCGGCGGGGGCCTGTCCAGCTGGCGGCAACAGGGCGGGAAAGGCGTGGCGGCGTAAAGGGACAGAGAAGGAAAGAAAGAGAAAAAGTCTGCATGCTTTGCCAACACCACCGCCATTTTCCTCGTGTCGTATATATACATATATATACGTATATTCGCTTTTTTTTAAAAAAAAATTCTGACTTCTACGCTCCCACGCACACGCACTCACACACGAGGAAGGAAAGAGAAGGGAAAACAGGTGTGCCCTC